TGGCGCTATATGGTGCGCCAATCTGGGCGGAAGCCCTGGCCGCCAGTCGCCCGATGCAGGCACAATTGCGCAGAGTGCAGAGGGTGCTGGCGGTCAGGGTAGCGCGGTGCTACCGCACTGTGTCCTGCGTGGCGGCGACGGTCCTGGCGAGCATGCCCCCCCTAGAGCTCATGGCCCTGTCGTACAAGAGAATGTACGACAGGAAGCGTGAGCTCATCCGTACAGGGGGCACGGAGAACCGCTCGCCAGGGCAATACGTGAGATGAAGCACCAGACTCGGCGGGTCCTCCTCGAGAGATGGCAAAGGCTTCTGGCCAACGCCAGGTACGGGAGGAGGACCGTCGAGGCCGTCCGGCCCTTCCTGCAGGAGTGGGTAGGAAGGGCACGCGGAACCCTGACATTCAGGATGGCACAGGTGCTCACCGGGCATGGCTGCTTCGGTGAGTACCTGTGCCGAATCGGGAAGGAACGCACAACTTCCTGCCACCATTGCGGAAATGACCATGACTCCGCGCAACATACACTCCAGGACTGCCCCGCCTGGAGTACCGAGCGCGGAGTCATGGTCCGGGCCTTGGGCCAGGACCTCTCACTCCCGAGGATAGTCGGGGCGATCCTCGGGAGTGAGAAGAGATGGGACGCATTCTCCTCCTTCTGCGAGTCAATAATGACGCAGAAGGAGGAGGCGGAAGAGATTCGAAGAAGGGCAGAGGGTCGGGGAAGGAAAAGGAGGCGGCGCGAGAGGCACCGCCAGTGGAGAGCGGGAGGAGCAGGAGTAGGGAGGGGGACGCTGATTCGTCAGAGGAGGACGAACTTAGGAGGATGGTGGGTCCACCATCTCCTCCTCCCCCCTCCCCCTCCTGCTCCCCCCATGCACCAGCAAGGCGGGACCCCGTAGGGGGCACGGTGCCCCCGCGGAAACCAGAGAAGAAGAATCGGAGACAGAAGGGTGGCGGTGGTGGTACTTCACCGACTCACCACTCTGATGGTGGCGGCAGCGATGCTGACCGCCCCCCTGCAGTAGGGGTGGCTGTGGCGCCGCCACCGCCGCCCCCCCTGCTGCCCCTCCAAGGGCAGCAGCAACGGGTGAAGGTAGTGGGTGGAGGGCAAGGCTGAGGCCAAGGCCCTACACCCACAGACCACCGACTCGCCCGAAAAAGGGCATTGGATAAAAATAAGGGGGGGAGAGGGTATCGATGGAGATAAGCCGTCGAAAATGCCCCTCCCCCCCTAACCGCAAATCCGAAACGTAATTCGGATATGCGGGAGGGGGGTCACTAGGACCCCCACCCCATTCCTCCGCGGAGGTGGGGAGAGCCCGGCGACTAGGGGAGTATATCTCCCCGCAACCGCCGGGCGGGAGGGTGGGGCACAGGGCGGGGACTCCCGGTGTCCCAACCAGCCCTCCCAAGTAGGGTGGCTGGCTGATACGGTGGGTCAGTCAGCCACACAACGTGTATTATGGCGGCGCCTCGTCTGGTCGGGAACGGTGGTTGAAGCGGGCCTCGGCCGGCTTCCCCCTTCCCGACCGAAGAGACGAGGCGTGAGGGGTGGGAAAGGGAACGGTGGTCGAAGCGGGCCCTCGGGCCGGCTTCCCCCTTCCCTGGGGGAGCGGTGGTCGAAGCGGACCCTCGGGTCGGCTTCCCCCCTCCCCCGCCCCGCCCCTCAGGGACAGAAGGTGCAAACCTGGACTCGGGGCCCCGATTAGCAGTTACGCGGCACCGGGGCCCCGACCCAAGTCCCTTCGCAGCGCCACCCGGGGAGGTTTTAGCCCGGTAGGAGTCCGGCATAACCCTGGCCCTTCCCGAGGGTCAGGGTATTCATGATGGATTTCCTCCGTCAAAAAAAAAAAAAAAAAAAAAAAAAAAGCGGGAAAGGGTTAGTGTTGCCATCTGTTGTAAGCAACATTCCC